AGAGAGAGAGAGAGAGAGAGAGAGAGAGAGAGAGAGAGAGAGAGTAAGCCGGCTCTCTTGTGACTCCCCTAAGGGTATTAATCCTATTCAGGAGGGTTCTACCCTGATGACTTCATTTAATGCTAATTACCTCCCAGAGACCCCGCTTTCTAATACCGTCACATTGAGGAATAGGATTACAATATAGGAATGGAGTGGGGGGAGAGGGAGGCACAAACATTCAGTTCATAACAAACAATAAATTAGAATTTTCATTTTGCAATCCCCAAGGAATTAATAGACCTAGGCATTTAGCATCAACACCTGTCAGTGGCATAAATGAAGCTATGTACTGCCTGAAACAACATACATCAACTATCATCTAAACTTGCCAAAGGGATCATACCTGAATGTCATCAATCCTCTGGATCCAGGTGTCATTTTGAAGGAAATACAGAAGATAGAGACGGAGAAGAACGTGTTGAACTGCAGCAAGGATGCAGTTGTAAGAAAACATTATAAGAAAAAATTGTAAGGAAAAAAAGGAGAGGGGGAGGATGGAGGAAAGCCTGTATATTAAGTGATATTATTTAAAAAGAACCCAACCCTGTGAAAGACTAAAAAAAAAAAAAAAGGAAAAGGTAAGGGAAATACAAATAGTGTCTAGAGAAGTACACTTAGGTGGTAAAACTGTAAGACAATGCAAAGAAGTGATTACTATAAAAGTGAGAATGGTGTTTATTTTGGGGGAAGTGAGGGGTTTCTGGGATGGCTGGAAAAGTTTTACTTCTTGTCCTTGGTGGTGGTCACAAGGGCTTCACCTACAATAATACATTAAGCTATTTTTTTAGCAAGTAAATTGGATTGCTGGCATGTAAATCTTGAGTGGATTGGCACATGAATTTGCTGTTTTCTGAACTTAATTCTCTGGCCTTTCCATGCTTTATTTATGCTACCCAATACCCATTGAATAAAACTCCTTCAGAAGCAGTTTCGATGCTTGCGAAAGAAGAATGCCAATTGATATGAGTAGCTTTGGAAATTACTATTAGCAGTGAAGTGGGTATAGAAAACTTTGGGGAGGGGGTGCCTGGGTGGCTCAGCCAGTTAATCGCCCAACTTTGGCTAGGGTCATCATCTCACAGTTTGTGAGTTCAAGCCCCATGTCTGGCTCTGTGCTAACAGCTTGGAGACTGCTTCGGATTCTGTGTCTCCCCTTCTCTCTGCTCCTGTTCTGCTCATGCTCTGTCTCTCTCTCCTACAAAAATAAATAAACATTAAAAAAAATGAAAAAGAAAATTTTGGGGAGAAATTTTGTTGTAATAAGAAGTGGAGTAGTAGCTAGAAAGGCATTGGGGTCAATGGATTTTTTTTTTAAACAATGGAAGCACAGCATGTTTGTATACTTATGGGAAGAATTGGTAATGCAGGAGAGAATAAAGGACAGATGCTGGAGCAAACTCTTTGAGTAGGAGAAAATGAATACGACCTGTTGAATAAGTCAAAGGACTAATCTTAGGGAGGTGCACCTTAATTCAACCAGACTAATAAGATTAATGTAGGCAAAGATACAGGCAGGTTGGTAAACTGTTGATTGAAGGTCTTTCCTGGAAGCATCTATTAACTAAGGACAAAAGACATCATCGAGAGGAGGAGAAAGGAAGCATTGGACATTTAAGGGAAGAAGATATGTACAATTGTGTGGAGAGTGAGATTTGGGGTAAATAGGGTGGAGAGGGACAGGCCTAAGAGCCCATTGGAGGTGTCATGAATTTTCAGTGACAGCAGGCATCATGGTTGTGTTTAGGGGCTAAGTTGCAGTTGTGGGATAGGCAGAAAACTGGATGCAATAGGGACTTGGGTTCTGCCAGATAAGCCTGGCAAAGAGAAAAAGGGGCCAGATTATTGAGAAGAGTTCAAGGAACTGAGAGGCCAGGACACTGTAAGGTCATCTAAGTGGATACTGAAATCAGCAAAAATTATCCCAAGAGTAATGTGGGAGAGACAAGCAAGTCTAAATCTAAAAAATGAGGTCCAGCACCCCATCTTACACAAGACCTCTGGAAGCAAGAGTTGTGGGAGGAAGCATAAAATTCAAAGCAGCTGGTTTTAGTGAGGCAATAATTGCCAGAGGTGATAATAAGAAATAAGTATTATACCCCCCCCCCCCCCATTTCCAGGCACTGTTGTATATGGGGTGTGAGGGAGAAAACAGTCATCAGTAGAGAGGGTTGCAGGAGGACGCTGTATACTTAGGGGAGAGCCAGATTTCTTACAGCAGGAAGAAGAAAGGAACATTTAGCATTTGAGGGCACACAAGATTTTACTAATAATAGACCTGGGGCTTAGTGGTTAGATGTGTTTAGATCTCACAGCTAGTGAGACAGGTGAAGATGGAACCCAATGCTTTTTCACTACACCGAGTCTGAATCCTAAATATACGGCTTTTAGCCAATGAAATAGACCTACATGAGCAAAAAGAATGAGAGATACTAAAAATCAGAAAGCGCGAAGCTGCACAACCCTGCAAGATACTTTTTGCAGTTACCCAAGAGCAAAAGAGTCGCTGGCAGCGCAATGCAGTGTGGGTCTTGTAGTGTTTCGTCTGGGTCTGACGGAAAGGGAGGGAGCGAAGGGCGCTTTGCATGGCGGGAGATATAGTCGGCCGAGGAAGTCCCTCCTCCCCCGGAAGCAGGGCAGCGCCGGCGTTTACCGCCTTTCCGGAAGCGCGGGAGTCTTGGTCTCTATTACCTTCGCTTAGGCAGTTGTACCGTAGTACCGTTAGGTTCTTCATTTCCCTGAGACTTTACGGCCGTTTGAGGTGAAATGGCTCCGGGCGAGAGAGGAACAAACGGTGGCAATGGAGCGGCCGCCACTACCTCAGGCTGCCCGTAGGGAGGGAGCATGAGGGGCCTCTGAGTCGTTTGGGCCTGCCCTTAGTTCCTTTGCAGTAATACTGCCTACCGCGAAGATGAGCTCGGTCTGGGTCACCTCTTTCGAGAAGGAGCATCTTTGGATGTATCTGCAGGCGCTCGGCTTTGAGCCAGGCCCGGCCACCATTGCCTGCGGAAAGATCGTGTCTCACACGCACCTCGGAGTGTAAGAAGCCTCGGGCTGGCGGGGCGGGGGAGTCCGAGCCCAGACGCGTTGGTGTGACCCACCCTTTCGCGGACCTGGCAGGTTGATGAATCGA